CTATTTCTCCTATTCCATAGACACAAGTCCCAGACCTCTATCAAGCCCTGTGAAATCCTTGGCCTACAACCATTAGAAAATAGCCTTGTTTCTTGGCAACCATAGACCTAGGGCAACTAGAGCCCTCTTTGAAAACCAATACATTGATGCTCTGCTCTGTAAGTTAGAATCAGTGTGTTTGATTACTACAAATAAGAAGCCTGGCTAACATGGTGAAACCCCATCTCTACTAAAAATACAAAAAATTAGCTGGGCGTGGTGGCAGGTGCCTGTAGTCCAAGCTACTGGGAAGGCTGAGGCAGGATGGCATGAACCCGGGAGGCAGAGCTTGCAGTGAGCCGAGATTGTGCCACTGCACTTCAGCCTGGGCGACAGAGTGAGACTCCGTCTCAAAAAAAAAAAAAAAAAAGTATCCTACCCAACCAAGATACAATGAGGCTTAGTCTAAAAAAGCCATTTAGATAGCCTTACCATTAGTGGAGGAATCTGGGGAGTTAGAGGTAAAACTGTAAACAAATGGAGAAAAGCAACTGTAGGTATGAAATGGCACATTCTTAAAAACTAAACTAGAATGATATGAGAATATTCCTTTCAACATCAAACTTCCTTCCCAGCTCCTTTCTATTTTGGAAGCTGATCATGATTCTTATTGCCTATCTTGAGAAATGTTTGTATTTTAAGAAGTGCTGGTGTCTTAATTCAAAGGAATGATATTATGAGGCATTGAGTGCAATGACAGGTAGAATTTTTACAATAGGATAGCCTTAGAGAATATCTCAGCCTCCATCATATGAGCAAGTGCTTACTCTGACTTAGAGGTCAGCTGTATTCCTCAATATCTGAAAATAAAAGATGAAACCATCATATTTTTCAGGGCCCTCCAGTACTAAACAATGCAATTATATATATTTATATTAAAATGACTAATTAAAATAGAATTAATGCTCAGGTTTATCAATAGAAGCATCATCATAGTCAAAAGACAAGAAAATTTAAGACTTCTTGGCAAGAAACAGAAGAGGCCATAAAACAAGCAAGTTCATGTGAAATTAAAAGTTCCTATACTTTATTAGTAAGTTTCCATATTGTGACACTTTGTAAGTATCCTGAATAATGCATGTATTATGGGCTGAATGTTTGTGTCTCCCCCAAATCCATATGTTGAAGCCCTAACCTCCAATGTGATGGTACTTGGAGGCTAGGCCTGTGGAATGCAATTAGGTTTAGAAGAGGGCATGAGGGAGGGGCTCCCATGATGAGATTAGTTTCCTTATAAGAAGAAAAGAGACAAGAGCTCACTCCCTCTCTTGCTGCCCTGTGAGAACACAGCAGGAAGGCAGTCTTCTGTGCGCCAGGAAGAAAGATCTCACCGGGGAGCCAAACTGGCTAACACCTTAATCTTGGGCTTCTCAGTCTCCAGAACTATGAAAAATCAGTTCCTGTCGTTTAAACCACCCAATCTATGGTGTATTATTATAGCAGCCTGAGCTGATCAATGCAATGTATATGTTTTAAATGTAAAAAAGTGTTCGATTCACATGCCCTTAACATTCATCTACTAAAATCTCTCCGTTCTTGGGTCAATGATCCAGGGATGTCTTTGGGCCAAACAATTCAGATGAGAGAGGAAAACAGAGAACTCCACGGCCCATTTAGTCCCATATTTCTATTCTTTGGTGGAAAAAGACCTGGTGGCAATAAATGTCATTGTAAAAAAATTTGGGGATAGGTATCCATACATGTGCTGTAGTGACAGGCATACACATGTTAAAACATAACATATACAACCACATCTTAAAGTCTAGTTGATGGAAAATCATAGGCCAAAAATAATGTTAATAAAAATGTACATTATAACACACACTGTAGGGTTAACCCCATAACCACAACAAGCTCACCTGATCATGAACTTAAACAGTAATTTGCCATTAAAGGCAAAAAATAGCAGCAATTAAAAATCATGAACAACTTAAGACAACATGGATGATGTCCTGGAAATGAAATATCCTTCCTCCAAATTATAGAAATTCCAACTATCACTTGGTTGTGGGCATGCACAGTAGAGCTCTGAAAATGGTTAAGTGCTTTGTGGCAGGGACTTCTTAGAAAAATCTAAATCTTCAGGAAACCATAGCCATGAGCTAATTTCAGTTTTTGAACACTAAATTTTAGTAACTCTTAAACTCATTCAACTAGTAATTGCTAGTAAGCAGCTTATATAAAAGTGAAATGCTGTGAATTGCAACTCATTTGCTAGTAAGACCCATCGAAAGAATTTGCATTAGGGGGAATTTGAGGTTCACCGGCAGGCGTCCACTGCATGATTGAGAACCACTGGCTGCTGTGTGGGGCTGTGCTGCTAGCTGCACTAGAGGAACCAGGCCTCCTGGCTTAGCCTGCTACCCATGGTCCATTCGGCTTTAAGGGCCGTGCCTCACTCTCTACTAAATAACTCAATGTTGTTATGCTGCGGTAGTTGCCTAGGAACCCCAGAGAGGTCTGGCTGCTCCATGATGCTGTTCTTGCCTCTTTCGTGGGAGAGAGAAATGTTATTTCTAGCCACTGGGCTAGAGCTCCCTCATATTCAGTCATTCTCACATAAACAGAGTGTGATGATTTAGGAAATAACGTTAAGAAATAAGAGTCAAATTTTTGGCAGCTACATATGACATGTACATAAGCAAACACCTGTTTTAATTGCAATTTCTAGGTACAATATTTAAAAAGTTTAAGCACAATAGCTTATTCTAACAGAACATGGGCTTTTAAAAGCACAGACTCAAAACTGGGAACTGTCAGTTCTTTAAAGGTAGAGGGTATGGATATCAATTAAGCATGCTAAGAATATAAACTTTTTGAAGATTAATTTCTGAATAATACATTTGCTTGAACAATAATGTTCATTATAATGTTATTGAACATGATATATAATGAAAATTATATATAATAACATCAATAATGATATTCAATAATGTTCGATAACATTATAATGAACATTATTATGTGCAAGCAAATGTATTAATTTCTGAGTAATATATTTGCATTAAAACTCCTAAACAAATTTAATAATGACAAATGTGTACCACTGGTTCTTTTAGATAAGCCAGGATGCATTGCCCCTCTGCGTCTTGTGATAGACTATTTAAGCCAGATAATATATTTTACAAGTTGAAACATTTATTTTTTACTTGTATGTAGGAACATTTAGGACAAGTTCTTGAAGAGACCAAAGGTCTAAAAATAAAGAATGATAGTATAATAGTTTACAGTACATCCTAAAACCTGTATATGGCATATTTTCCATTATGGTGTCAAAGAGAGCTTGTGAAAACATATTATAAATCCTAAGGTAATTTTCATTTCCAGAAAAACAGCAAAGTCAATACACAAAATAAAGTGCATTGCTAGATGATCACAAACTCCTAACAAAAGTTTACAATTTCCTGCAAAAGAAATGCATCATCTGCTTCAGGATGTGGGCAAGACAAGCATGTTCCTGTGGTAACCATTTCTCATACAAGGAAAATAGCTAGAGAGACAAAAATCTTTGCTAAGCTGCAGCCTACTAGGTCTCCTGATTTGTAAGAGCAACAAGAATAGAGATTGAGCTGTTTAAGAAGTAATTTAGAAATCAACATTCGATGAACGAGTAAAGTCTGTCAAATAAAATGACTTCTAATTTACAATGGAAAGAAATATCTTAACACAGTTTGATACTGTCAAAGCATTTTATTATATGGCATTATACTTTAGGTGGATGTAATAGGTCTAGTATATTTTACAACCATACAAAACAAACATCCACATTTATCTTTTAAGGTTCTAGTCAATCCTTAATAATAATTCTCTTAGTGCTACAAATATAGATTCATTTAATTAAAATATAGTGTACATTTAATTTCTCATAATTTCATATTTTTCCTTATCTTTTAACCACAAGGTTATCTTCTTGTAATATTTACTTATTAGTGTTATTTTGCACTTTTCTTTGCTCATTGTACTTTATTCATTTTATTCACTCTTTGTTCCATAAACCTTTGTTGAGTATTTACTATCAGTGAATAATTAGGTCAAATCATCTTTCCATAGATTTTTTTCATGTTGCACTTACTGAACTTCTGGGACTCATTTTGTAATTTTTCTAATAAAAAGCCTCACTCCTCATTCCATTGATGTTGATCCACTCAAAACTTCTATCCAAAAGCTATGATTGTTACACCTTTACTTCTAAGGGTGAGATGGAGTGGGATGGGGAGTGTAGGATGGTGAGGAAAGAAATGGATATGTATTATATGCATCTAACATGAAGTGCACTCAGCTGTGTTTAACTCATGTTATTTTAAATGAAGTAGGTATAGTAGTATTCCCTTTCCATAAATTGAAAAACGGAAATCTATTAGCCCTTAAGGAACTGGTCACCTAAGATTGCACAGTTAGTAGCTGGCAATTTCAATAATGTAGCTCTAGTCTGTCTAATCTCAAAGGCTTTACAACAGTTCTTCTAAAAATCACAGTTGGCACCTGATACTTTTTATTTCAATCTTTGAAGAAAAGATTGTTTGAATCTATGCTATTCATAAAACCCAGACCTCCTCCTCTTTCATTTTGCCTGTAAAAAAATCTATTATTTAGATCGATTACAAAAGAAATACATTTTAACAATGGTTTTTGAAGCCAAAGTAGACAGCTCATAGAAAGAAAAATGCTAATAAATAAACTAAAGCATTTTAAAAATTCTGAAATCTGTCTACTTAGACAATTACTATACTTGATGTTTTTTCAGACCACTCCCCTAAGATTACTAGAAACAATAGATAATAGCTTATGTATAGTTTAAGCAGCTAAAAAGTAGCACAAATATACAAATTAAAACAAGGGAAAATGCAAACAAAACATGCCTATTTTTATTAGTAGAAATGAAATAAGGAATATCACAAAATTAATGTTAAAGAAAAAGGATTTATTATGCAGCATTCTAATTATTTCATATCAGTAGGTACCTTATATTCTTCATAATCATTGGTATCTAGCAAGTCCCTTTTCTCCAGTTCTATAAGTTGTTCTCTTGAGGGGTTAGCAGGTAGTGTCTTAACAGAGGCTTGTTCATATATGGGTTTTGCATTAAAAAATAGTTCCTTCCAATCATGCATCAACTTATATGGAATCAGGCTATTGCACAAAGAAAAGGTAGAGATGAATCAATGGTTAGTCAAATATAGATTTTAAACATTGGTATTTGTATTATATTTATGTAAATTAGCTCACTTTCATCAGACAAACAGAAATAATTACTGAAAAATGATCTTAAAGGTTACCATGTGTGCAATGACAGTAAGACTAATATATATTAGATTTTTCTGTTACAAATTATTTACAAAATGTAAACCTAATGTTCTCTTAAAGGGGCCTTGAAAAGCACTCAGTTTGTTCATTTTGCACAGGAGGACACTGATACCAGAGCATTTAAATAATTTCCTAAGGTTGCATAGTAAGCTGACATCAGAGCTGAGAATTAAGGAACCTAAGTGTTCTGACTGTGCTCACTATTTTTAGATATATTGTTCTGCTATGAAACAGTCAATAAAAAAGTTTAAAGAACCAGTGGCATAAAGTAACAATCATTCTTCAAACCCACTAAGTTCCAAACATTTTACTAGCTACTAGAAATATAATAGCAAGTGGAATACCTGGCTTTAAATAGCAGACTCTGGGAAAGAAGGGCAAAAAATAGTTGCATAAATACATGAAAGTTCTGAATAAGAATTATACAATGGGAAAGTATAACAGTATGACTCAACTTAACTTGTTGGTTCCAGGAAGGTCTCTTTAAAGAAATCACTGCCAAGCTGAGGCCTAAAGAATGCTTAGGAGGCAGCAAGGACAGAGTGATGGGAAAATTGTTTCAAGACAAGATGTGCGAAATGTCCTGATGTGATCATAAACAGTTGGACTAGAACTTGAAATTACAACTTAAAAAGTAGTATTTCATTCTGATTCATGCTACAACATGAATGGACCTTGAAGACATTATGCTACGCGAAATAAGCCAGACACAAAAAGGATGAATATTATATTATTCCACTTATATAAGGTACCTAGAAGAAACAAATTCAGAGACATCAAGTTGGATAGAGATTATCAGTGGCTGGGGATTGGAGGGGATGAGGAGCTATTATTTAATGCGTACAGACCTAACAACTTTTCCTGTTTAAAAGGCTGTGTGTTCAGGGTTCTTGAACTCCTGACAAACCTCATATTCAGGTACTTCCTCCGTTTTGCTTTCTCCACCACTTGTTAGGGCTTTAAAAAGCCCCCAAATTACCTGTTTCCTCCTAAAAACCTTTTAACATCATCTTTCAGTATGACTTACTATGACATCTGTAGACATTCTATGGCTTCATGATTGCAACCCACTAAAGTAGTCCATGTATTTTGAAAAAAAAAAAAAAAAAACTGTAGAAGGAAAAAACCTTAGCTATCTGACCTATACCGTAAAATTCTTTTCACATTTAAGGATATGAGAATAGAAACAGATAAAATGGCAAAAGTAGGAACATTTTTAAAATAGCTTCTCTAGTCATACAGAATATTGGTCTCCATGTTCTTGCCAAACTTCTCCTTTCCCTCAAGATTCTGACCTTGCCATTCCCCACCTGATCCACTGAGGCTCCCGAATAAGAAAATCACCTGCTATAGCTTCTGGGGCCCTGAATACCTTCCTTGTTAGCTGACATTATTAAGATTCCATGCATACTTTTGGGCTAGCAATTCAGTTTTCTTAGCAGCGGATTCAAATTCCTCAGCTCACTTCAGATCAACCTTTTCGGTGAAGCAATTATTAATCAAAATAAAAGTGAGGAGCAAAACATGCTATTTTATATATCATAAATACTATCTATATATAATATATACAAATAAAAAAGGGCTGCTTTAGAAGCAGTATTATACCTTTCCATTTTCAGAATGAGCCTCGTGTGACTTTATATAAGTTAGTCTAGAAATTCGAGCTATGTGGTCTGCTTTTTTTTTTTTTTTTTTTGAAACGGAGTCTCACTCTGTCACCAGGCGTTCTGGCGTGGATCTCTGCTTCACGCGCAACCTCCTTCCCCCATGTTCAGCGATTCTCCTGCCTGCAGCCCTCGGAGTGGTGGGATTACAGGCACCTGCCACCGCGCCCGCACCTGCGCTAATTTTGTATGGTGATAAGATATGGGGTTTCACTATCTTGACCAGGCTGGTCTTGAACACCTGACTTCGTGATCCACCCGCCTCAGCCTCCCAAAGTGCTGGGATTACCAGAGTGAGTCTGCTTTAGCTTATGTGAAAGGAAAATATCTTGGGCCCTTTCAAGCTGGGAACCACTGGGGCAAATCTGCCTCCCATTCTATTTAAGTCATCCCTTTGCTCACAGAGATAGATGCAAATTCTGATTGCCTTCTTTGGAAAGACCTACCAGAAACTCAAAAGAATGCAGCCTTCAGTCTCTCACCTATATGTGACCTGGAAGCCCCCAGTGGGTGGGCCTTGCTTTGAGCTGTCTCCGTCTTTCTAGATGGAACTAATGTACTTACTTCTTGCATATTGATTGATGTCTCATGTCTCCCTAAAATGTATAAAACCAAGCTGTGGCCTGACCACCTTGAGCACATGTCGTCAGGACTTCCTGAGGCTGTGTCACAGGTACGTCCTCAACCTTGGTAAAATAAACTTTCTAAGTAACTGAGACCTGTCTCAAGTTTTCAGGGTTCACACCTAGTAGTCTCTATGAATCATTTATCCCACTTTCATGTTATTCTGTTGCTATTTAGATATACTTTGATTTTTAAAATTAATCTTTTTATTTTGAGGTAATTATACGTTCACATTAGGTGTAAGAAATAATATGGAGATCCATATACCCTTTACCCAGTGTCTCCTGATTGTAATATTTTGCAAAACCACAGTACCATATCATAACCAGGATATTAACATTGATTTCATTTACAGAACATTCTTGAAATAACAAAGTTATAGAAACTGAGAACAGACTAGTGATTGCCAGGGGCTAAGAATGGGGTGGAGGCGAGAGGGAAGTGAGTGTGGCTCTGAAAGGGCAACATGATGGGTTCTGTGGTGATAGAACGTTCTGTATCTTGAGTGCATCTCATTTTTTTTTTTTTTAATTTTAGCCATTGTTATAGGAGTGTAATGACAAATCATTGTGATTTCAATTTGAATTTCTCTAATGACTAACGAGGATGAATTTTTTTACGTGTGTATTTGTCATCTGAATATCCTCTTCAGTGAAATGTCTTTTCATATCTTTTGCCTATTTTTGAACTGGCTTATTTTTTATTGTTGAGTTTTGAGAATACTTTATATATTCTAGATACTAGTCTTTTGTTGGATAGGCAGTTTGAAATATCTTCTCCTATTCTATACATCCTTTCAGCTTTTTCAAAGCAAAAAGTTTTAATTTTGAAGAAGTTCAACTTATAAAGTTTTGTCTTCTGCAGAGCAAAACGTTTTAATTTTAATGAAGTCCAATTTGTCAAGTTTTCCTCTTATGGATCATGCTTTTGGTGTCAAGTCTAAGAACTTGTTGCCTAGTCATAGAGCCCAAAGATTTTCTCCCATTTTTTCCTCAAAGTTTTATAGTGCTATGTTTTACATTTAAGTCCATGATCCACTTTGAGTTAATTTTCATAAAAGGTATGGTAAAAGGCATGTAGGCATCTTAAATGAAAGTAGTCAGTGAGTAAGTCAAGCCAGTAATCAAGGTCTCCTGGACCCCACCTTTTAGTCTTTTCATGAATCATTTGTATCTCTCTTTACTTATTAGCTTAGTATCTACTTTACAATCTTACCCTTCCTCATTCTGTATCGTGTCTTTACTATGTTATTTAAAAAACAATACTTACTTATTTGTCAACGTTCGATAGTCTGCCACTTTAGTGGACAAATCAACTATTTGGTCCAAAATTTCTGCACATATTGAATAATGCTTTTTATAACGAGCTTGAGCTCTTTCCACAGCAATCTGATCATGAAATCTCTTTTCTTTAAGGAACTGTTCTTCAAAATCAATCTTGGCTTGTTTTGCCAAAGCCTAAAAAGGCAAAAACACATTTTTAAGTCACTATAACTGAATCAAATAAAAATAATGTCATCATTTCAATAGCCAAAACGTCTTTCAGTAGAATGAAACCTCTTCTCACACCAGGAAAAAAATTAATCATGAATGAACACTTTTTGCTTAATACATTAGTACTGAGTATGATGGCAAAGACAATATTGGAAATATCCCACTCTCAGCTTATCTTATCAACAAAGCGTAATACAGTGAGAAGTGATCTAACTGGGGAAAGCCCAATTTGGATTAATGAGGAATTGGATCTTAAGCCTTCAAAAAGAAGTCCTGAGTTCACCGGTTGCAAATAGGGATCAGAGAGAAACAGGCAAGTCCGTGCCAGATCCTAAGCATAGCTGACCCCTCACTCCTACCTCCAGATTGTCAGTTTGGACACATCTGCTATAGTCATTGCCCTTTGTCTTTCAATGGGAGCGTTCTATAATACTGATTTATACTTAGAAAATATTTTAGAAAGTCCCTGATTATACTGGCTTGAGAATATAAAGTATTTGCCAACATGTGTTAAATGTGTTAATTACAAACCCTCTATGGTTACAGCGTTAATAAGCTGATGGCATTCATTTGTAGGAACATCTAGGTATGTAGAAAGCAATGAAACACTTAGCTTGTTATCACCCTCTCCTTAGTGCACTATTATTTTGTTCAGGGAATCTTTTCTTCACACAAGGTACAAAGGTTGAACTCAGTCCAGCCAAACTGAGGATAACATAATACTTAATTAGTGGGATTCAGATGACCCAATATTGCTTTTCAGATAGCTATGCCAGCTTCTTGAGAAATTTAGTTACATGCTAGCCTGCTGTAGGAAAAAGACTTGCCTCCTGTAACAACCCAGTGAGTATCAGACGGAAGTAAACTTGGCCTTTGGAGGAGCTATGGTCGAGTTCAAGCCCTAGATTTTATATAGAATTCAAGCACTAGCTGTGAGATCTTGGGCAAGTCATTAGTCTCCTTATGTCTCCATTTCCTCAAAGTCAGGATATTAAGAGTACTTAGCATACCCAGAAAAATTACCAAACCATCTCATCAAAACAAGTATTTCCTATTATAATACTATTCATAAATGACTAGATGTGTGACAATGGATTGCTGTGTAAGGTCCACCATTTGTTTTGCTATTGCTATTTTATTTTGTGTGCTTATTTCATTTTTGTTGGGAAAGGGGTTAAGCTGGATGATCACTAAGGTCAATGCTGTACATTTGACAGATTCAGGAATTACACCAGAGTTTGTTATTCTTGTATTATTCTGTATACCCTATTTTCATGGAGAAAGAGTACAATTTAAGTACAAAGCTTTATGACATGATTCATGAAGTGAAGAATTCAGAGGAAAAATGAATCTAAGAGAGCAGAAATATCTGATGAGAATTTATGGAGACAGTGACACAAAAATGGATCATGAGGTTGGTTTACTACAGAGTTCTCTGAAACACATGGAAATATTTAGGATGTGAGGAATAAAAACCTTTAAGGGAATGGTAGAATGTTCCTACCAGTAATAGTGTAGCTTTCAACCCTGGTTGCTGCCATTGCCTGTCTCCCCATATCCCTCTCTCTCTTCCTCCCTTCCCCGCTCCCTCCCTCCCTTCCTCTATTCCTCTCCCTCCCTTCATCCAGCTTAGTCTTCCTTCTCCTTTTCTATATCTACCATCAATCCTCTGCCAAAGCCACCACAATTTCCTGTCTCATTACAGCTAAGTGGGTTGCAGCCATAAAAAAAGGAGGAAAAGGAAAAAGGAAGTCTGTGGGAGGTAGTAAATCTCAGTGGTTATGAGCTTGGACTCTAAAATCTGATCAAGCTGGCCTTGCTCCCTGCTACACCGCTGAGAAGCTGTGTGACTTTAAGCCTTCGAGTCTTCAATTTCCTGATGTGTAAAATGTAAATAAGGATGGTATCCATTTATGGTCATTGCAAGAATTATTTTATACATGCTTGTAACAAACATAGTACAATGCTTGACTCAAAGTAAAGCTAAAAAAAATTAAGTATTATTGTAATTATTAATAATAATAGTAGTTAGCACAGAAATTTGAAATCAGGAACTGTCTTAATACAGAATACTTTTGCAGTTGCCTCAAAGGAAGAGATTAGCAGATTTAATCTAAAAACAAAACAAAAACCCTCAAAAAATTGAGAGTGAAAGAAAAACACAAAGTTCTTCTCCCTCGTTTTCTCTCTCTCTCTCCTCCTTCCTTCCTCTTTCTCTCTCTCTCTTTCTCTCTTTCTCTCTCTCTCTCTCTCTCTCTCTTTCCTATCTTTTCCCCCAAGATGGAGTCTTGCTCTGTCATCCAGACCTGGAGTGCAATGGGGCGATCTCAGCTCACTGCAACCTCCGCCTCCTAGGTTCAAGTAATTCTCCTGCCTCAGCCTCCCAAGTAGGTTGGGACATAACAGTGTACGCCACCATCCCCCTGGCTTATTTTTTGCATTTTTAGTAGAGATGGTGGTTTCAACATGTTGCCAGGCTTGGGTCCCTCGAAGTCTTGACTTCGTGATCCACCTGCCTCGGGGCTCCAAAAGTGGTGGGATTACAGATGTGAAGCCATCATGCACAGCCCTTTCCTTTCCTTCTTTCCTCCTTCTTCCTTCCTTCCTTCCTGTCCATTCCTTCCTCCTTCCTTCCTTCCTTCCTTCCTTCCTCTCTGTCCTTCCTTTCTCTCTTTCTTTCTTTCCTTCTTGTGCTTCTTCCTTCCTCCTCCTCCTCCTCCTCCTTCCTTCCTTCTCCTCACTCCCGCCGTCCTCCTCCCTCGTCTTTCCTTTCTTCTCTTCTTTTCTTTCTTTCTTTCTTTCTTTCTTCTTTCTTTCTTTCTTTCTTCTCTTTCTTTTCTTTCTTTCTTTTCTGTTCTTTCTTTCTTTCTTTTTTTCTTTTTCTTCTTCCTTCCTTTCCTTTTCTTTTACTTTATTTCCTTCTTCTTCCTTCTTTTTTTTTCTTTCTTTATTTCATGAGCAAGAGCAAATGTGGTCCTGCCCTCATGGACTTTACATGCCAGTGGGATAGGCAAATAGTCAAAGAGTCACACAAATACATGTATAAGTACACACTATGACAAGTGTCATTAGGGCAAGATCATGGGGTATGAGGCTGTATAACAGGGGCCTGACCTAGACAAGAAGGGGCATATGCATGGAGCTTTGAAAACAAGTATTAATTGGGTGAAGGCACTTGGAAAGAGGGGCAAAGTAGAGGAAATGACTTGTTCAAGGATCTCAGAGCAAACCAATGCGGCCAGAGCCCAGGCAATGAAGGGGGGCAATGAAGCCTCAGAGGGGATTATATGGGAGACCAACAAAGGCTGGAGCAGCTTCCCCAAAGTTTCCTGTGCCACTGAGGGGACATGTGGGCTGCAGTAGCTGAGGTCTCAATAGGACTGGGCTTGCATCTGATGACCGTAGTGTTTCCAAGATGGCTTGGCCCTTATAACTTGGGGAATTGTACATTGTCTGTGTGCAGAGTTGGGGTGAAAGAGTATAACTTAGGGTTGACTTAAGGAACATATAGAATGTTATATTCTTACACTCTCTAGTTTTTGGTCACCAATTCATAACCACTAAAAATGGATGAAGGAAACCACTGCAGTAGTAGTACTGCAGTAGAAACCAGGGGTGGTAGTGTAGACATAGAGGAAAATGGACACAATGAAGAGAAATTTAATGCATGAAAACGATAGCACTTAGTGGATGTTTTGGGTATGGAAGAATAAGGGTGAAGCAATTTTAACGTGGACCTTGAGGTTTCAGGCTTGTACAATTCGATAAATAATGATGCCATTTGTTGAGCTATGGAACACTGAAAAAGACTAGTTGCATAGGAAAGGTCATACATTTGGCTTGGAACATGTTGAATTTGAAGTGTCTCTGAGACATACAACCACAGATGTCAAGGAATACTAAAACTATGGCCCTTCATCTCAGAAGACAGAGGCATAACTGTATGGGTCATCTGTCTGTTGCAGTAAATACACCACCATGGTTGTGGATGCAGCTGTCTGAGAAGTAACATAGAAAAGAAAATAAGGCAGCCTAAGATGAAGCTTTGAGGAATCTGTCAATAAATGTTTTGATACAAAAGAACAATGAGCCTGTAAAGACAATGACCCTGCTCCTGAGAAGGAGCAGCCAAAGAAGTAGAAACAAAATCAGTATTTTCCACAGCAATACTTAATAGAAAGTAGCCATGGAATAGCAAATCAATACTATTAAAATAAGTAACACAAATATTATTAATAGTCTGTGAGCATAGTTAAGAAACTTTAAAGACCTTAATAGATTTAAAAGTAATTTTAGAATGTTCCACCTTCTCCCACTCTCAAATAATAATAAAAATGACAAGAACAATAAAATCTAAGGACAAAGCTGGAAGCATCACACTACCTGATTTCAAACTACACTACACTATACAGGGTTACAGTAATCAAAACACAAAAACAGACACATAGACCAATGGAACAGAATAGAGAACCCAGAAATAAGACTACACACCTCCAGTTATCAGATGTTCAACAAACCTTACAAATACAAGCAATGGTGAAAGGATTTCCCATTTGATAGATGGTGCTGGGAAAACTGGCTAGCCCTATGCAGAAGACAGAAACTGGACCCCTTCCTTACACCATATACGATAATTAACTCAAGATGGAATAAAGACTTAAATGTAAAACCCAAAGCCATAAAAACCTGGAAGACAACCTAAGTAATACCATTCAGGACATAAGTACGGGCAAATATTTCATGATGAATATGTCAAAAGCAATTGCAACAAAAGCAAAAATTGACAAATGGGACCTAATTAAGCTAAAGAGCTTCTACACAGCAAAAGAAACTGTTAACAGAGTATACTAACAACCTACAGAATGGGAGAAAATTTTTACAAACTATGCATCTGACAAAGGTCTAATATCCAACATCTATAAGGAACTTAGACAAATTTACAAGAGAAAAACAAACAACCCCATTAAAAAGTGGGCAAATGACATGAATGGACACTTTGCAAAAGAAGACATACAAGCAGCTAACAAACACATGAAAAAAAGCTTAACATCACTGACCATTAGATACATGCAAATCAAAACCATAATGAGATACCATCTCATACCAGTCAGAATGACTATTATCAAAAAGTCAAAAAACAACAGATGCTGGTGAGGTTGTAGAGAAAAAGGAACAAGTTTACACTGTAGGTGGAAGAGTAAAATAGTTCAACCATTGTGGAGGACAGTGTGGCAATTCCTCAAAGATCTAGAGGCAGAAATATCATTCAACCCAGCACTCCCATTACTGGGTATATACCCAAAGGAATACAAATCATTCTATTTTAAAGACACATGAATGCCTACATTCATTGCAACACTATTCACAATAGTAAAGACATGGAATCAACCTAAATGCCCATCAATGATAGACTGGATAAAGAAAATGTGGTATA